CAAGGCTAAAAATATATATATTTCTATTAGTTGGTGCATACTCTGCATGGCCAAGCTTCAGCATACTTTTTTTCACCAGAAAGGTTAGCAGTGCTATCTTTATTTATTACGGATCACAAAATGATAAAACTTCTAACACTTGATAACCTGTTTCCACCAATACCACATTCTTGCTAAAACTCATGGTAGAAGGACTACGACTATCATGTTTTCCAGCCAAAATGACCCTAGTTCATGCGTGAGCACTTCTAAGTAATGAGAAAATCTCATACTCGTAGTCGTCCTTGTCTAAGAATCTTAAGGTCTCTATTGGTTCTCAAACAGCGGGCCAGCACAATGACACTGCCACAACATAGTCAGTCAGTGGCCTTTAAATGCAGTATTTTAATGTGGCTAAATGCAATTTAGGCAAGGTTAATCACGCGCTAATGCTGCCAGCGGTCTTGCCCAGTTTGCACATGATCTGTGGGGGTACCCCTTTGGAGTTCGCAGGGGCAAACCACATACAGACTTTCTCTCTAGCGATCGTTGCGATCAGTGATTTTGAGAGCGAATCTTTGCAGATTCATTAGCTGGTACATAAAAGACTACTCACCTCATCACAAACAAGATCACAGAGAGATGCAAGCTTAGCACCCAAACCCTGGGCTGGTTGCCTCAATGCTGCCACAATTGGCTTTGGAAAGTCTATCATAACCTGAGCCAAATATCTAGAAAGAAAACACAAAACAAAAATTTACAAAATTATTAACCTTGTCACCTTGTGCCAAAACATAAGCAATCAACATTTACATAATCCCCCTCCACACATACACACAATGTTAGTATGGTGAGACTGACAGAGGTAATGAATTCTACGGACCTTAAGATGAGAGGATGGCGACAGCAGCGAAAATGTCATGCAAAAACTGAATTGGTGTTTTTTCAATCTTCATAGCGATTATCTCACTGAGGTCATTTACTTTGTCAAATGTAGGCAAACTCTTCTCGAGTTGAATTCCTAAGAACCATATACAAGTCCGGAAAGATAAAGAAAATTCTGTGGTGGCTTGTTTATGCCCTCCTTAAAATGTGAATTTAGGCATTTTCACACTGTAGTTGTACAGTAATGGCAAAGAAATTTGCAAAAAGGGTGTGCTGAATGTTGTTGTTTTGCTGATAAAACCTATTGCTTTTTTTATGTTCTCGTTGCTGTCGCTGTCATCAGACAATATTACAGTAACAAAGCCCCATGGTTATTCCTTCATGTCCTAATGTCAACCTGTATTCTCCAAAAAAATTCATAGAAAACGATCTGAAAGGAAATGAAAATTACTTCAAGTATTAAATACATCAAGCATGAGACACAGTGTTTTATCACTGGATGAAAAACTGAGAAGAGAGTTGAAAATATGTTGCACAGCTGAGTATTTTTTAATGTGGCTAAATGTAATTTAGGCGAGGTTAAACACGAGACAATGCTGGCCAGCAGTCTCCACCACTAATCGTATGTGGAGCGGTCTTAGGGTTTAGCAGGGCCTTGGTGCTTTTACATCGCTTTTGTAGGAGTCAATCATTTTGCTCACGTTGCTTTTGTGTACAGTAGTTATAGTTGTTTTTTGATGAACTTTGAGGTGTTTCATCTGGTGATGAAGGTAATGAAACACTATGTCGAATGCTTGATATTACTTCTCAAACAAAATGATTTTAGAAGAGAAATTAAGGATGCAAAATGAGCAATTTTTCATCTGATTTCCAAACAGTCATGAAACATTAACATTTGTACTTTCTCTATGAATAATCAATGAGTTTGAGAAGTAAGCGGGAAGTTTGAGTCACTGATGCTAAAATTGCAGTAAATGTATTAAGGAATACAGAGAAAATCAATTTTTGCGATGTTCGGGTTAGCAAGGGTTCGAGTTATTGGAAGTTGATTGACATTACAACTTGAAAAGTTACAACATTACAAATTTGTTTAGTTGTAATGTACATACTGGTACTTTTTATATTCTGTTGAGTTATCCTTATCACACCAATCTATAGAGTGAGGGCTACAAGTTTACGAGTGCAAAGCATTACCAGTATTATGGGAAGTTTCTCGGTGTTGCAGATGGGTGCAATCAACAAATGACTTAAAACAAAACATTGAAGACACTGAACTATACCCACAACATAAAAATGAACCACCAATGGTTTCCCCAACACCAAGGAAATATCCTATTATGTAATCCACTCATGACACAAAGTTTTTGTCCATCTACAGAATATGTTCTTGTGATTAACAACATAAACAAGAGTTTTGTGGACAAAAATTGACATTGAAAAGTCACCCAAACTCAGTCCTGCACCCACACTAATACCTTAACATCTCTAATAAGTTGAAGAAATGTGTTGTGATGATAAAAAATTATGCTTTCATCCTGATTCAGAAAAATACATCCAGTCATTATGTTATTTGAATTTATCACTGGCATTTTGTCATCTCCACTTAAGTGCACTGGAAAATTTTAACATATCTGTGCAAGTTACATTCCTAAAATGCAAAATAAAGAGTATCCTATATCTCTTTCCTTTTGTATCTATATTTGCCTCGAATAATAAAAAAAGATTTCTATACAATGTTCCAGAGAACTTAAAGAACTAATAATATTCAACAGATGCTATAAAGGGATTTTTACTATATCAGAAACAGATGCCTTGGAAATATTGAAAAAGGCCTAAATATTGTGGAAGATGTGGAATAGGAGAAAAAAAAATGACTTGGTTCTATAATCTTCTCAGTGCTCTTCTTCAAGTTTATGAACATAAGTTATTTCAGAATCCCTCCAAGAATAAAAGAAATTCAAAATCTTTCTTGTTTTCCTCAAAGGAAAAACCACCTGTTGTTTAGTTGCCAAGGTAACATAACTTAAACAAGTACTGTACTTATTCAAATCTGAAGGTCTTAGGTGTTAAACTCCTGTTTAAAGTAGTTTTAGCAAGGGTTTCATTGGAAGACAAGTACCAGAAAAACTGACTTATCCCCACTGCTCTTGGAGTATTGCCAATTATTTTTCGGAAAAGAAAAGAGCCACTTTCTTATTAATTTCAGAAAACCTCTTGAAAAAACATCCCCAGTTTTGCAATATCTTTCTCATGAAACCTCAATTCTATCAGCATAAAATACAGTCCTGGTGCTAGTTGTTCAAAAGTTGGATAGTGCTATCCGTCGGATAACTCACTATCCACTGGTGTGAGTGTTAAGCTGGTTTGATGCAATTGCATTGTACATCCGCGACGGGGCGTATTTTTAGGTTAAATGCGTTAAGTAAGTGCATTGTGCATCACCTAAAATTTATGGACAAGACTGTTGTGGGAAATGCCTGAGCTATTTAAACACAAGTTAAGAGTAGCCTTAGTACAGTTGTGTCAATATTTTTCCCCTTTGTAGGCAATGTAATATTCTGTACTGTTGCATCTTGTTGTTGTTACAGTACAGGCCAGGAAAACTGCTGCATTACACATTTTTTTTTGCATTTAAATCTGCCATATTGCACACAATTTACACAAGAGAAACCTGAGAAATATCCGTGTAAAAAAGTCCATGCAAAAATACTTGGGAAAATACACACAAAGTTTCGGAAGCGGTTAAATGTAACACATAGACTGCAAGTATTAATATGAAAATTTTCATCTTTGGCTAGATTTGCCACATGTACACTGCACGAAAGCGCCAAGGGCACAAGGGATACTGAAATCTGTAAAGCAATTCAATGAAGGACGATCTCTAAATAATTGTTCAAACATAAGCACCAGTAAATAAAACAGAAAGCGGATTCTGACATTTTATGGGTTGAGCCCTTCACTTTACCTTGATGAGGCTAACAAAGAAAACCATGTGATACATCTTACTCTCTTTGTTTTTGAAGCAGCTATACACCAAGAAACACTCAAAACCCTTGAGTGAACTTCAAACATTGCAGCACATGGAAAACATATCCAAACTTCTCTCAAATTACATGAATCACTTGAAATTTACCAAAACAATTTGTCGGCACAAAACAGTCCTGAAAAAAGGTTCCATTTTAACCAGTAGAAAATATTAAACGAGGTAAGTGAACTAACCGAAATCCAAAACCTTAGCTTCTTTCACAGCTTGCATTAAACAGATTTGTCTTTCTTGCTTTTGACTTTGTTACACATATTCTTCTTTTCTTTTTCTTTGCTTTTTACTTACTATCTGTAATATCTGATTTGTAATTATAGAATTAATTTGGCACGCCACGAGTGACGACTAGCGTTTTTGGCTAACTGCGTGTCAAGAAATTGTACAGTCAATATTATGATAATAAATGTCTCGTCTTGTCTTGCGTAATTTTAACTTTTATGGAAATGAGACACTACGAAAAACTGAGAAAATGCACTGTGAGGGAAGAACAGTGTTTTCAGAGTTCTTGTGAGCTATCTCAGAGATCATGAAAATATTACCAGAACTTGCCAATCAGATGGAAACTTCATAATTATATGGAAAACATTGTCTACTTCAGTTTTGAAATCAAAAAGTCAAAATGACTGTACTACAACTCCATAGTAAATGGCTTTTGGCCAACCAGACCCGGAACACCTTGTTTGTTTACACGTACTTTAAAAAATGGCTTTTAAATAGGCTGCAAGTGGACTACTGTTTGTAGAGAGACCACTACATTATTGAAACCAGGAATGTGCACCTACTATTAACACTTAAATTTGTACCCAGATTGCTTACTTGAGAGCATATTTCAAGCTTAAACTCAAATCTTGAAAGTTGTGGTCACTGGGCCCAGAAAGCTGCTGTGTTTACAGTCATGTTTAAATTCAAGGTTGAGGTTTCAGTTGTATTATAGAAAATATGATATCAAATCAAAATGGATGTTTCCTAGGTATTAACTTCGCTTTCATTAGATGTTGATTTTATACTTGGCTGTGGGTCCCAAAAAAATTATAGGGATGTTCAAGCAACAGGCCCCTGGGCACAAATGTGAGTATTTCCTTGAAATCTCAATGACAGCATACCTGATCTTATCCACATCTTTACGATAGCGTCGAGGTTCCTCCTCACAAGGTACGTCGATAAGATCATTCAACTCAATGCCACAGAAAGTGTCATCTCCAAGGCCACTTATAACAACAAATTCTGATTCATCGGTTGCCGCATCTTCCAGCACAAGAGTGAGAGAGTCTACAATTCTCTGGTTAATCTTTCTTCGCTTGCTTGATGATCGACTAATCGTTACATGTAGATAATCATCCAATCTCTGAACTGACACCTCTTTACAAATAGACTGTTTTTCACAAGATGGCAATTCCTCAATAGATGCACAAGTGTCTTCATTGCCAGCATCATCTCGCAATAATTGAAAATGCACATCCTCAGCGGATGCCAATCTGTCAATTTCAGACTGGTTCTGATGAAGCTGAATTAAATCATCCTTCCAATAAGCTTTGTATGCGAGCCTGCTTAAAACAGTCGCTTCCTGGCACTCATGGCCAAGGAAACACTTGAAGTCAAGCTCATAATCAACTAACTCATTTGAAGGTGCCCAAGAGCTTGTACCATCCTTCCATTGAACTAAATACTCATAAGTCCCTGATAAATTTCTCCTCATTCCAAGAATTCTATCAGCTTTGTTTCTCCTTCGACGTTTGAGAGGAACATCAGAGGTTTGCTCAGTTTCCTCCACCAGGTCAAATTCATTGTCAGTTGTATCACCTTGATTTCTTATCTGTAGAGTTTTCTTAACATTATTCACAGCTTTACGTTTCAGCTTGTGAGTCACAGCTTTCTTCTTCAATGCAGTAGCTGCAAGAGGATTCTTATCTCCCTTTCGTTGTAACTTTAATTTCTTTAACTTACGTTTCAACATAGGCCCTCTGGCCTTTTCCTCGTCCTCGTCCGTAAAGCGAAATGCGTCTCCTTCAATCCTGTGTTCGTCAATAAATTGTTCAGGTTTCGGCTTCGGTGGACGGCCACGTTTTCGCTTCACCTCCTTTCCGGAAGATAGAATGCCACAACCGTTCACCTTAACAAACTTTGACTTAACCTTCGTCATGTCTTTTTCCGGTGACTGTAATAAACACTCCAGTGAATTCTTAGAAGGCTTCAACAACGAGCGTTTACCGGTAGCTTTCAAAATAGGCCGCACCCAAGGTTTTTTAACGCCATTTTGTGTCCTGACTATCTCGTGTTTTGTTTCGCAACTTTCTAACAATTTCTTCGGTGGCCGACCTCTTCTCCTGGGAGTTGATGGCGCCAACTCACAATCATCGCTGCTCGACGAAAGGCAGTTATTTTGCAACTTGCGTATACCTTTCGACAGTTTTCTTTTCTTCCAAAATTTTGAAGTTGAAGGTGACGCGAGAGATGCTTTCGTGGCACTTGTAGCACAATTGCCATGTGGCGAAGGACTGTCAACTGAATGAAACTTCGTCAACAGTGCAAGATTTTTAGGAGGCCTTCCTCTCCGTGACTTTTTCGGAGGTATTTCGTCAGAGTTTGAAGTCTCGAATCTAATTCAAGATCATTCAGCGTTCCATTCACGCAAACAGATTCACTTGGTTGACGGCGAGAGTTATTGGAATATGTTGACAAAAAGCAGCCACGCCAGACGTCGAAGCAAGGTCAATTCCGATTTCACACTCGAAATCTGTCCTGTCTCCATTTTTCCTTTTTGGCGACATTACACTTCCTTTCGTTTTATGATTCTTTAAAAAATCACAAGAGTCTCTATCCAAAGATTTTGTTCTACCATTCTTACACAATGTCGTGCTCTTACGACGCGAAGAATCTGATAATAGACGCTTTCTTTTCTTCGACGAATGGAACTTCCTCTTCGTGCTCGCATCGTCCGAATCCGACTCTAAATAACGAGCGGGTGTTTTTAGAGTCCTTCCACCATGAGTGACCAAAGGAGGATTAAGCCCTAAACCTTTGAAAGTGAACTCTCTTCTACGGTCGCCCGTATTCTTTGTGTGATGGTCTGGCGGCCATTTAATGCCATTCAAACAATTGTCCTCACAGTCCAAACTTCTTACGCTTGATTTCTCTAAAGATGGCTCGGAATTCGAAGTTAAAATCATGTCCATGTCTTCGTCCCGAGTTGGGCTAGCCGTTAAATCATCTATTCGCATAACTCACGTCCACCATAAGCGGAAATCTCGCTTCAAAATACAAGAAGCGGAGACAAATAAAACTTTTTTCTATTATTGAATGGTGCACGCTATCTGCGGCTACGAGCGCCTGCGCCATTATTTAAATTCCCCCGCATGAGTAAACAAAGCTTTCTGCTGACCATCACTTATTGCAGATGCGGCTAAGCCAAGACAACCACCCCTTGATCTAGCTTAATATCGTCAGCCATATATTTCCCAAGCTTAACAAAAAATTCAAGAGAAACATTTGCCCAAGTACACAAAGACATTTTTCTCAGACTTTCGAATTACTTGACTCCTTGCCCTCCTTATACCTGAGCTGCACGAGCAACTCATAAGCAACTCACGAGTTTCTAAGTAGAAAAATTGTAAACTGATCCGCAGGGACCGAACATTACACACTATGGAGAGTGGGGAAGGGAAAAAACAAGGGGGTGGTGGCTCAGAATAATTAGAATGGGGGGCCATCTTATTGATGTTTCCATAGAAGAGAAAACGTCTAAACAGAGTGGAATAATTTCAAAGATCCTTTAACGGGAATAAGGTTAAGAGGGATATTAACCCGGCAGAAAAAAGAACGACAAAAACAACGCTTCCGACTTATTGTCTTGTTAAAATCTATAGAATATTGACACTGATGAATACCAATACTCTGTTTGGATGGAATACATATCCACCTAACATGACGTAACAGAAGTCTGTCAAGTTTTTTAAAAAAGTCGAAAAACGTGTTTTGTTTAATCTTAAATTGAATCTCGAATTGAAGCTTTATTGTGTGTCACTACTGATCTCCTGAGATAACATAGAGCGCACGCCCGGTGTTTGGGAGGTCAGGGTTCGAATCCTGTCGGGAACTCAGATTTTTTCTTTGTCTTACGCTCGTGACATGCTGATCATTTCATTTTCACAACAATCTTCCAGCCTCTGGCCTGTCATCGAATACAGTGGAGGACAGGATCTGACCTAAGAAAAACATCATGAAGATAATTTGCGTAGGTATAGGAAAAACTGGTACTACATCCATCTCCAAAGCTCTGCGTCATCTTGGATACACTGTTTTTGACTGGGAAGAAAAAGTATTTGATTTCCAAGACCACTGGGTTGATGTTTTCCAAAATGGCGCCCAGTTAGATGTGAAGAGAGTCTACCAACATGCTGACGCGGTCGTGGACGCTCCCGGAAATTTTTTCTGGGAGGAAATACTGGAAGCTTATCCTGATAGTAAAGTAATTTTGAGCGAAAGAGAAGAAGATTCTTGGCTGAAGAGTCTGGTCAATCAACTTCAAGTCTTCGAGGCAGTGATATCTCGCAGGTTTTTGGCTGTTCTTTCCCCAACTTCAAGAAAACAGATCTTTATTCTTTATTCTCACTTGACCGCTATTCTTGGCTCTGCAGACCCCAAGTCGGCTTGTGTCTTGCGTAAGCGATATCGCATGCACAATCATCGCGTTAAGTCACTTGTTCCACCAGAGAAGCTGTTGGTGTACAACGTGAAGCAAGGTTGGAAACCGCTGTGTGATTTCTTGGGCTGCGAGGTTCCAACAGTTGCCTTCCCACATGAAAATGTTAAGGGCGAAATTGCTGAAGTTCCTTTGTCTGAGACAAGGTCTGGTCGGCAGGTAATATTGGAGATACAGAGAGCTCTGATTGTAATCCTTTCCGTTATCGTATTTATTGTAGGTTCATTTTTTGTCTTTTTCTATGATTAACTGTGACTATAATTGCAACCTTGCATTGGCCAAGATAACGTTTTAATAAAATGCATGCACTTCTGGCATCGTAAGAAAGCTAAAGGATCAGTAGTATGTGAGGAAGTCCACTAGCGTAACAAAAATATTCAAAAATAAAGTATAGGTTGTATAATTGAATACATATATCCGTGCTGTACCGTGTTAATGAGTTGAAAATTGCTTGTGTATAGCTTACGGTGAGGTAAATGCAGATTTATATTAGAAACTTCACCATATATAATTAATATACAGGGGCGTAGCTAGGGAGGGTCCTGGGGTGCCCGTGACCCCCCCTTGGTAGGCCTTCTTTTCAGCAAGCAACCTACAATATTCAGGTGGCGAAAACGCCATGACAATATCTTGGCCGTAAAAGCCATTGTTGAAAAGCCCACTTTTTATGTAAAGTATTTTCGTCAACGGCTCTTGTCTTTAGTTAATATGGGCCTTCATACCGCGATAATACGACTGAGCCCGCTGTTACACGAGGGAGAGCAGCGACGCACGGCGTTGAGGTCGACATGACAATCTGGTGAGAAGCCTCTGTGACCCCCCCTTTGGAAAATCCTGACTACGCCCCTGATATATTTTTCACTTGTATGTCATATATGTCATAGCCTGAAATATTCAGAACATAACTCTGTCGATTTGTTCGCTTTTCCCGAGAAAATTTTCGCGGGGTGCTAGTGCAGTACAGCTTCAATATCATGTTGACGTCATTATTAGAGAGAATTAGAATCGAGTTCAAGGCAAACAGCAAACGTCAAATTGTACCACTTGACCAAGTTTTTTCTTTACTTGTCGTTTACTGTTAAACTACTATCACTCTACGCCTGAAGAACAACTGGGAAATGAGGGTCCTACTGACCTAATTTCTCCTAAATGCCATTCTGAATTCTTTGACTTTGCTATGGTTAGGTAAGACACTATTAAAGAATATACTGAAAAATCAGCGCTCAAACCGTGCAATCTTGATCCTTAATAGGGAGCTTAAGCAACAACGTTTTTGAGCGACGGACGTCAACCGGAAGTGGACTTTTTGCATCATTGGGCAGTGGTTCTGTTGCAACTCTTGGATAAATCGTCTTTATAAGAGAAAAGAAACTTAGCAATACAAATTTGTTAGCGTCAAGGCATATGAGAACGGAGAAGGCCTCACTTCCGGTCGACGTGCGTCGCTCAAAAACGTCTTTGCTTAAGTTCCCTAATACCTGCCTCAGGGATGAAGAACTGTTTAGATATACTCATTGCCAGTAATAACGAAAATGTTTATTTTATCACTCTCTTCTGGAACCATGCCCGATGCATTCAAAATTGCTGAGCTCCTACCAGCCATTAAGAAACCTGATGCTGATTTTACGAACTTGTCTTTTTATAATTTTCGTCCGAACTCGAATTTGAAAATGGTGTCCAAAGTCATTGAAAAAGCGGCGACAGTACAGTTAATAGCCTGTGTTTATACCCACCACCTAAATGAACGGTTCCAGTCAGGTTACAAACTCTGATCTATCACTCTGCTGAGACTGCTCTTGTAAGAGTGCAGAATGACATTCTTTGTGCCATTGACAGTAACCATACGTACCACCGCCGTAGCCAGTATGAGGCGAACCGAGGCACTCGCCTCGGTAAAATTTTACCAAATACTGTCGATTTTTATTTTTTTTATCAGACTAATAATATCAGAAGATTTCATACGGCTGATTTCGTACAACGGACCGTGTGTTCGCCTCGGTTGTAGTTTCTTCCTGGCTACGGCCCTGCGTACATACATACATACATACATACACACATACACACTTACATTTTTTATTGTGTTTTCAGGTAAAAGTACAATTATAACATGTCCGCGGGTAGCTAAGCTAATCTAGGCGGGTCATGTTTACAGTGATTCTTTTATTATTAGATCTTTCTGCGGCTTTCGATACTGTAGACCATTCTGTTCTGTTATCTAGATTATCAGACCGATTTGGTATCAATGGTACGGTTCTCAAGGGTGGGTCTTGGGCCCCCTTCTTTATGTATTATACACCGCACCTGTTGCTGACATCATTAAGTCTCATAATCTACAGTATCAGTTCTATGCTGACAACACACAATTTCACGACACCTTTAAGACCAACTGTGATGTTGATGCTGGCCTGTCCAGGTCAAGGGTTGAACACTGTGTTGCAGATATCAGGGGCACCCAACGACAATTTTCGGAAAAATATCTGTTCGGAAGACGATTTGAGATCTAGAATTTTCGGAACATTTGTTGTAAAATTTCTTGCTTGCCTGCTTCTCCTAGGATTTTCTAACATCTAAAAAATGGTATAATTGTCTATTTTTGACGGATTTTTACGCTAAAAAGGTAACCTAGAATTTTCGGGAGCCTTTTTTCTGGCTGAAATTTTCGAAAAGGGAAGTTTTCATCCCTATAATTTTCTGATCACTAGACTTTCAGCTAGGAAATCCGACCAGATGAAAAATTTTTAGGGGATAAAAATATAAGTATATTTACCGTTTAAATACCAAAATACGTTTAACAATGCTATGTTTAAGTGGTTTTGAACTATATTCTCGTTGGGTGCCCCTGTTTAAGACCAACTGTGATGTTGATGCTGGCCTGTCCAGGTCAAGGGTTGAACACTGTGTTGCAGATATCCGTAGATGGATGACTAATAATAAGCTAAATATTAACGAGAATAACACGGAGTTATATACTCCATGCAAGTATCGATCACGGCCAATGGTCACTTCTATTCACGTAGGAGTTGAAAACATTAAACACCAGCCCTTTGTAAGAAATTCGGGAGTGATACTTGACCAGGATATATATCACCTAAATATCAGATCAATAGGCTGCAATTAGTATTGAACACTGCTGCGAGTGTGGTCACTCTTGCTTGCAAATATGACCATATAATGACTCCTATAATAAAGTCCGGCTGCACTGGTTACCTGTATCTCAACGATTTACTTTTAATATTTTTCTATTGATTTATAAAGCACTTTACGGCTTGGCGCCTATTTATCTATCCGACGTTTTGGCCCCGCGCTGGTCTAAACGTTCACTTAGATCTTGTTCTCAGGAGTTTTTAAGAGCTCATGACTGTAAATATCGAAAATCGCTGGCCAGGCTAAAAAAATAGAAAATTCTCATAATTTGTCATAATTTGTCCGGAATCTAAATCCGGATTCCCCAATCAAACGCGAAATCCGATAACGGATTTTACCTCCGAGAAATCCGTCCTCAGGGTGGATTTCAATTAAGAAATCCAAATCCGGAATTTTTGGATTACCCTTTTAACGTTCGATTGGGAAATCCGAAAAAAGATTAGCAAAACTATTGTCGTGAACAGCGGTCTCCTTTTTACTAATTATGCGTGCGCATGCAAGACCGCTGTTCCTAAGTACAGTTTTTCAAATCCTTTTTCGGATTTCCCAATTGAACGGTAAAAAGGAAAATCCAAAAACAAATATTTCGGAGTTGAAATCCGTTTTTGGATTTCGCGTTCGATTGGAAATCCGAAATCCGGATTTTAAAATCTAAATCCAGATTTCCCAATCGAACGCACCCTGTATGTGCTTGTGTGGTCGATCTGTCACGCAAATATATTTAAAGCTCGTTGTTGTTGTTGTCAGAGATGCTGAAATCTGATTTTTTACTACGTATTCTCGACAACAAACCGTCCCTTGGTTTATTTCTTTACCTTTTCACAAATAGAGGCATGATTAGAGAAGAAGTTCATACGGTCCAGTGGTTTCTCCCCTACGAAACATCTTTACCGCCCAAACCGTAGTGTGTAAATCTATACGCGGCCTGTGCGCGCAACCCACGAACCAAAGCAAGTTCCAACCGACGCCGCGAAAGAACTGGAAAAGGAGACTACAGTCCAACCTCCCGTAAGCGACCACCCAAAATGCGAAGACATAGTGGTCGATTACGGGAGGTGGTCTCTTACGAGAATCGAACCACAAGCCGGAGGTTTCTTCTGAGAAGAAAACCCGACTAGGAGCCGAGTAATCGGCTCCTGACCCGACACTATTTAAGGAAGAGAATTTATTGCATGCGATTTCCAAGTTACGATATGTGCAGTTCCATTTTGTTGTTGTTCCTACCATAAGAGATCAGCAAACTCGTCAAGGGGTCGCGTACAAGAGGTTAAAACATTGCAAAATCATTAAACCGTCAGTTCCAATTAGTGGTTACAGTCGCTTACAGGAGAGATCCCAACTGTCTGAGACTTAAACCGAGTACGTTTTGGTGTTTTGGATAGGTGGTCGCTTAAGGGAGGTGATCACACATGGAGGCTCAACTTTACTCCAATTTTTCCGTCAGAGTAACTCCGTTTCACGTCGGTGCGACTAGGATTTCTCGATGGGAGATTAGACTCCTTCTTCACCACTTTTGAGCTACTCTAACCGACTCCCACCCATACCAAGTGCTTGCAAAACGTAACATCTTCTTGAAAAGAGAAGTATCAGAAAGGTCATCCTTGGCGCCCCTGACCTATCGCAGTAAGCGGCAACGAACTTAAGTATCGACGTAAGTACCGGGCAGTGGGGCGATGCAGAACAGTTTACAACAGACCCGAGTTTTGTTTAAAGAAACACCTGCCTTTTCCTCAGAAGTATTTATGTCAGTACCCGCAATGTCCCAGCTTGCGCCTTCACACCAGAACGTCCGATCAAATCACTGTTTAGTTGATAGCGAGCAAGGGGCTAAATAACATAGCGAGAGGTACCAGTAATTTAAGTAAGTGGCATCGGCGTTTTTATTTACGCCTAACCGTTTCCCAAAGTAAAGTAGGAAAGAACTTAAGAAAAAGGGAAAGAAGATTTATGCGATAAAACTGCTCTTAAATTGATGTTTAGCTATGGCCTATGGGATACCCTGGGTGCCAGAGGCTTTTCATGCGCGGTTTCAGGTTTCGGTCATGTCTTACAAAATGACTCGCGCGAAAAGCTTCGCCGCTCGTGTCTTCGGCCTTTGGCCGACGAAACGAAGCTCCCTGTCGCACGCGAGAAAAACCTCTTGTACCCAGGGTACCTACGGGAGGGAGTGGGGGCTATTTAATCGCTGAATAACGTGTGACGTTACCAAAAAATATGACGGAAAAAGCCATTTTTTTTCCTTGGTTTGGAATTTTGACCATTAAAATTTTAGCTCTAGCCATTTCGTGATACCAGGGAAAAAAAATCCAATATTTAGATATTTCCCTCTTAGCAGCCGGCCCTCTAATTAGTTACTCTGCCCTTAAAATTTAAACGGCATCTAATATCTCCGCTGGAACGAAACATGAAAAGAACGGCTGGTTACAGATTGTCGATGTAGCTTGAGGCGGGGCTTCTGGGCTGCTTGTGACCCTTCTTATCAAGAAGACCCCAAATCAAGGTCCTATGTGGCGAGGATATTTGCTGTTTTAGGTTAATTCTGTGCTAAAGTCATTACTTACTGTCTTTACCCAGTAAAAAATTGTTCCTGCAGAGTTACATGTGGGGCACGAAGAAGATATCAACAAACACATTTTATCAGGGAACGTCTCAGGGAGCACTAACCAAAAATATATGTTTTTGTGGGTGATGCATTTGAAAAAGATGGCCCAATTTTTTTAATTTTTAGTTCATGCCCATCCTTTCCATGAGGAGCAACCACAGATAACCCAAGCTCGAAAAACGAGCATTTGCGAGCATCGGCATCAGGGACGTAGCCACCCCACAGCCAATAGACCTGTAGGCCCGGGCCTAAAAAAATTTTTGGTTTGACCACTCTCTACCGCTTTTAATGAATTATGCGTTATTGGGGTGAACTAGAAAGCTCAAGAGGTCAAAGTGTTTGGTCAGACTAGTCATGCGTGCAGTTTTCAGGATATGTGAAAATGAAAGTCAGCCAGGCCTACAAATAGTCGAAAAGCTGGCTACGCCCCTGGGCATTGTTGGGTAACATTAGGAATACAAGAATTTGTATGGGGAAAAAACCTATCTTTTCTGTAACCTACATAAAATGTGTTAATGATATATGAAATAAATCATGTATGAACTGCGGAAATGAAATGAAAATGAAGAAATGATCGTCGCAGTGAACGCAATTTATGCAATTATTTCGTATATCATTAACACTCATTTCTTTCACGGGAACATATGAACCCACAATTGACCTGGCTTCATAGCTCAGTTGGTAGAGCATCACACCAGTAATCGCGAGGTAACGGGTTCAAACCCCGTTCAAGTCCTGAATTTTTTTTTTTTTCAGGCTTCTTTACGTAATTGCATAAATTGCGTTCACTGCGACGATCATTTCTTCATTTTCATTTCATTTCCGCAGTTCATATATGATTTATTTCATATATCATTAACACTCATTTCTTTCACGGGAACATATGAACCCACAATTGACCTGCTCCCAACGTCAGTGGCTTCATAGCTCAGTTGGTAGAGCATCGCACCGGTAATCGCGAGGTCACGGGTTCAAACCCCGTTGAAGTCCTGAATTTTTTTCAGGCTTCTTTACGCAATTGCATAAATTGCGTTCGCTGCGACGATCATTTCTTCATTTTCACTACATAAAATGTGTTACATATCTGTGACGTCACGATGGCCAAACACATTGGACAGCCGCGCTCACGAGTTTATGACTCCTTCCTGATCTCAACTTTGTTGTCCAACATGTGTGCATTATCAGCTGTGTTCCCAAACTAGCTAGGAAGTATGAGATTGAACATTGATCGCGATCTAGTAAAACAATTAACTGGTCAGCGGACACCTTCCATTTAAATCTCGTCACCTCTATGAGTTGACACATGAGCCCGCGATGTGGTCATGTGATACTGGTCAGTGGCTATCCTGTTTTGACAGCTGTCAATAGGCTATTTCCGAGTTCCAAAAAATCTCACTTTCAAAACGAGGCTAAGTGCGAAACCCTTTGTTGTGAAAATGAGTTGTATTTGCATCATAATTAAAACTCATTTTCATAACAATGGCTTCGCACTTAGCCTCGCTTTGAAAGTGACATTTTTTGGAACTCGGAAATGGCCTATTGACATATTGTGAATGTCGAATATAAAAGATGTGGATTTGCCAAAACACGCCTGAGACACCCCTCCCTTCCTTTTTATAGTGTCTCCTACCCCACCCGTACCATTTGTAGACGCGTACATACGTACGTACGTACGCTCGGTCAATCACGTGACAACCAAACGAAAAGAGGTTGACCATGAGTATGGGGCTTGGATTTTCTTCTCCAGTCGATTAACGCAGTTTCTATAGCTTTAATAGAAGAATTAAAAGATACATTGAAAATAGATACAATTTATGATCCAGAGCAATCAATGGAGGTAAAATCAGAAACTTTACGTGGGCTAACATCATCAACAAAGCCACACTCCGCCGAATGGACACTTTTATCCGCCATATTGATCCTCCAGCAAAGCATGATGGTCTACTCTGTCGGTTTTGGTTTTGGCGTTTGCTTTTTTGGTTTTCCTTTTTTTAAATGTTTATAACTAGGTTTTGGTTTTGGTTTTGGTTTTCATAATATGATTTAAAAGCAAAAACAAAAACTGAAAATAAGAATTTAAGGCATAGATGAAAAAAAAAACGAAATTAGAGAAGTCAAAGCAAAACTGAAAAGTAAAACGAAATAGATCGGTAAAAATAAAAAAGTTAGAAATAAAAAGGGAAAAAGTAAAAAATAAAAACCGAAAGGCAAAATAGCGAAGTGAAAATCAAAACGTTAAAAACGAAAAAGGAAAAGTAAAAAATAAAATCGGAAATCTCAACCGAAAAGCAAAATGGCGAAGTGAAAATCAAAACTTTGAAAACGAAAACGGAAAAGTAAAAACTAAAAAAGGAAATCTCAGCCAAAAAGCAAAGTAAAAAGCAAAACGTTAAAAACAAAAATGGAAAAGTGAAAAAAAAAGGAAATCACAAAGTGGCCCCCCTGGGCTTCCGTACCGTAAAAAGCTGAAGAGGGAAATTGATCGTTACAAGGAGCTACTTCAGTGGCGTCAGTTATCCTTCTGTTCGATTCGCTGGGTTTTGAATAAATATTGCATCCGGTAGATTAACCGAACAACCCAGAATAGAATAGAATAGAATTATTTATTTTATGTCGAAGACGTGGGAAGTGTTTGCACAATCTTCCGAGCCAGAGGCTCATGTTAAAGACAAAATGTGAATTAAGCATGTACAAATATAAAAAACCTATGTAACTATTAAGTACCTCGTAATTTTGGGAAATTTTTTTTAGAAACTATTTTTTTGAAAAAAAAAAAAAAACCTAAAAAAACCTAAGTACCTGCATTAAAGATAGTTTAAAATGGACTAATCCTAATTAGACACTGATAAAGCCCAAGAGTATGTAAAAATGTAAAATAGGTAAAATTATATACAGTTCATACACTGGCACCCTCTGAAATTAACATTATTCAGACGAGCACGAAATTGTGCTAAAGGTGACAGCTGGTAACTGATAGGTTTTGATTTATAGCGACGTTTCACTGAAGATTAAAAAAGTCTTCAAATCCAATGTTAGGGGTCAGAGAACAAGAGAGAATAGAGACGACGTGCGTGGGGTGACCCTATCTGGTGGAATGGCGGACTGACGGAATGATGGAACGGATTGTCGGAATAAACGGAATATACGG